TCAGTGGAATTAACTTAACCTCTTAAAGACAAACATTTCAAGACATTAAGACGATGCAAATCTGAATGCGAGTCATAAATCACGTGAAGTTACATCAAGGTGTTGAAAGAACTATAGAAGAGACGCATTATTAATGTTATAAAATGTTCGCTGGAGCCTTTTTAAGAGAGGGGGAAAAAAATGTTTTAAAAGCATTGTTTTAATCTATGTACAACATTAAATGTTTGCGTTGGTTTCTTTCGACACGCCAGCCTGCCCTAAGCTCAAGTTTGGGAAGAACTGTCGGCTCGGCTGCCAGTGCGTGGACGCCAAGACGGAAAAATGTGATGACGCCACGGGAGAGTGTCAGTGTTTGCCCCAGTGGACGTCAGCTGACTGCGGTCAAGACTTGGATGAGTGCAGTTTGTCCAACTCAAATTGTCGGGGCGCGTACAAACAGTGCGTCAATACTTACGGTGGATTCTACTGCACTTGTTTTAACGGATACCGTCTCAATGACAATATGGACTGTGAGGAGATTGGTAAGCGTTGCAATTACTCTGTGAGGTATAGAAAAACTCGTGTTGCACATTTGAAGAAAGTTGATTTGATTTGAATAGTTGCTATCTTTAAGAAGAACAACTTCTTAAGCGATGCATGTTTGTATTAATTTTAAAAACTAAAGAAAAAAAAAAAAAGACAACATGATAATGTATTAGAATTTAAAATTGTAGTATCTTTTAGCTCATTTTTAAATAATCTTTTAAAGTTAGGCATTGCTCCTATGAACTCACTGAGACTAATGGGACAATGATGAGTCCGAACTATCCGGGAAACTATTACGACAAGGCCAATTGTACGTGGAAAATATCAGCTCCCGATACAACAGCCACCATTGTTTTCAAGTAGGTTTTTTGAGAAATTATTAGTCAAGTGAAAAAGTTGTCTAAACCCTATAAGTAAAAAAAATTAACTTGACATTTCAATATTTTTAAATACTTTCTTTGAGCATTCTGTAACTTCTTTTTTTTTTCAAATTTACAAAATAATTTCTCTTTGAAAGTGTCTCTGATTTATTGTTTGAGACCTGCTGCGATTACCTTGAAGTACGTGACGGCGGTGCAGAATACTCTTACCTTGCGATTACTTCTACTGGAGTTTTTAGGTCTAGTAGTAATGCGATAACAGTGAGGTTCATCAGTGATGCAAGCGTCACTGCTAAGGGATTTTCGGCTACCTATTACGTCAGTGGTAAGTGAACATACGGTATATTACATGTTAGGAATTATCCTTATTTTTAAGAACTAACATAGAATCAGTTTTTTGCATTGTTTGAATATTATATTTATTTATGTTAGTCTTTGTAGATATAATCTTGTTTTTATTTTTTATTTAACATTGTTTAATATTGGGACGCAATTTATTGTATGTTCTTTCCTATCCTATCCCCCCACCAGCCCAGCACTTTTTGTATTTTAATACTAATCTAAAGTGTTTTGGGGAATATTCTAAAGTTGTAAACTACATGTACAATTTTAATGATCATTTTTTTTTAAAAATCAGTTTAAATATAAAAGTAAGCCAATGGGTAAAAATCCCCAAAGAACGTATTTCCCATATCAGCCGCGTGGGATGATTGTTGAGGATAGGAAGTACGTGATAGTGTACATGATGCAACGGTGCTCCACTTCAAATCTTACTGGCGCCTTCACTTTAACAATGATATATTGTTCACTTTAACAATGATATATTGGCTAGCTAAAATATTTAGTTTTCAGCTTTGCTAAGGATACAATTTAGCTGATGGACTGTAAATTCTGCTTAATTATTTTTGAAACTCCAAAGCAATCTCTTTCGTTATTTAATACCTTATGGAATGAGTCTATGCTTCTCTTGCTCTTTCCCTCCCTCGATCTCTCTGTTTCTCTCTCTCCATCTCGTTCTCTCTTCTCATGATAATTATTTGTTCTCTAAAATGTTAATTTAAATACAATCAGTTCAATATTTTTTTTATTATTTTTTTTTACAGACATCCCAGGATGTGGCCATGTACTCAATGCATCATCAGGCAATTTAGCAATTCCTGTATACCCAACTGGAACATTCTACTCGTGCTATTGGAGCATAAGACCTTTGTACTCTCCAGGTGTCATTACATTAAGGTAAAGCATACATGAATATCTATTTCTAAAACATAAGTCGTGGCTGGGCTCAGATCAGCGAGTACGGATGCGTGTGTATAACAAGCATGTTTGGGGCTGGAGGTCGGTGAGTTGCTGGTAAAAGTGGGTGAAGAGGTAACCGTCCAACTGATAGAAATGTTATCAGATAAATTAAACAATTCCTTCTTTATTCATTGATTCACTTATGTATCCATGCCTAGAGATTTTGAAGAAAAAACATTAAAATTATGATCATCACAAAATAGATTGACGTATTTTAACATATTTTAAAATCATTTTAAGGAAACCTAATATGTATAGTTTACATTTCATAATTTCCTCTTATCCACCTACAAGTCTGACTGATTTTAATGTGAGTTGCACTGATGGCTACGTTGATGTGTACAGCGCCATCCCACCACGACATAACAACCGCTTGGGTCGATACTGTGGTCCGGCATCAGTCAATCTGATTCGATCACACAGTGGTGTCATGCACATTCAGTTTTATTCAAACACATCAGATACAGTACCCAGATTTAACGGTTCTTACCTTGCACATAGTAAGTACAATGGCATTACTATCACATGATGTAAAACATGCATCAACATTGCAGAAATCGTGCTCTATTTAGTAAGTTTTAAAATGTATAACCCTCTGAAAGTAGTGTTAATCATTTATATTTATTGCTTCTGGTTGAGACCTCCTTCGTTTTCTCAACCACCCTCCCCCAATCCTGCACGTTTTATCTTAATACTGCTTAGTGAAAACAAGGCTGTCATGCGTGGCGTGTGAACTTAGCGTAAAAAAAAATTCCTGAAGGGGAGACGTCTATTATATTAATCAATAAAGATCCACGGGAATCGTGTGGGACTGTCTGTAGGGCTATTGTTCAAATGCCTGCAAGTAAGGTGTAGGATGATCGGCAGGACTGTTTCTTTAAATATCTGAAGGTAGCGTATAGGACTGCCCTGTAACCATGGGTGCCCGCAGGTAGGGGCAAGGTGGGGCACTTGCCCCCCCCCCCTGGATTGATTGGATAAAAAAATTTTAGACAAAAATAGACAAAAAATGTATTAAAATAAAGAGAAAATAAAGAGAAAGTAACTAAGCTGATCTCCTGTCCGTTCGTTCACCATACAAATACGCTACAGTAAATTAAAACTACATTAAAACATTACTAATAAATGTTTGCCCCTGGAAAGTTAATCAATGTTTTTGTCCCCCCCCCCCTAGAAAGTTTTCTGCGGACGCCCATGCCTGTAACTGTTAGCCTATTTCTCAAAATGCCCGGAACCCGGTGTCAATAACTGCACCCGGTTAAGACCTTGCTCTTTGTTACTTTGTAACACGTATAATCTCATTGTTAACTTAAATTTGTGTTCAATTTAATAGCCTGCCCCTTCATGAGTTTCGGCCCAGAATGCACTTCGCCCTGTAGTTGTCACGCCAGCAACACATTTAAGTGCCAAGACACCGACGGCACATGCGTTTGCAACGCGGGGTGGACGTCTGCTGATTGCTCAGAAGACATCAACGAGTGTCTTAGCAGCCCGTGCCCTGCATCGACAACGTGCGTGAATTCACCAGGACGATACGGTGAGTTTGTGTGTCATAACGGGACCAATTCATAATTGTCTTATCTTAAAAGTTATAAGGACTACTTTTTTTTTTTTGTTCCATAAGTCTTTCTTCAGATGAAAAGTCTAAGAACTGTTTTAGCAATGTAATCAGTGCCCTACGCTATGGAAACTTTAAAAAAAGGACCGTAGAAGAACACCGTAAAAAATATAATCGTTCGTTCATCTACTTCTTTGTTGTTATATTTATAATTATATTCATTAGCTGCAATAGAATATTTTTTTAAGACCAAAGGAAAGCATTCAAATATTTTCATATTGATATATTTTTTTGGTTGCCTTTTGACGAGGTGGCTTTGTTTCAAAGTTATTCGTAAAAAATAAAGTTATTCTGATATATATATATATTTTTTTTAATGTGTAAGGGTAGAATATTTAAAATATTAACAGTTCATGCATAAATACTACGTAACACACATTGAGAGGGTACTTGGTCTCTATTAAATGTGAGTATATTGGTATGTTTAAAATGGTACCAAAATCTATTCACTACCACTTACATAAAAACAAAAATTAAGCCATTTAAGAGCTCATTGTAAAATTAACTTTAAAACATGAATTCTATTCTAATTGCTAGTCTTCGTAAGGCGTGAACAACGACAAGACACATCTCGTGACCAGTCCGGTTTGCTCACATTTAATTTGCCTCTCATTTCTGTTTTAGACATACTTTCCTAAAAAAGAAAAAGCTTGAATGTGTTTTAAATATTTTTTATTTTTTTTTTTTACGTCGAAATCGAATTGCTTGTTCCCAGAATTAGATGGTAATCAGGAGATTACCCCCCCCCCCCCCCCCCCCCCAATCTCGGAGCACGAAGTGGAAGAACAATGAGAGGATAATTAGCCTATATCTTGACACATTGCGTTTTGCAAGAGTCATCTCCACTGGCTTTTTTTTTCTGTTCACTTTGACACCCGGGGGAGGGGGGTGGTGTTGAAATAAGCGAGCTGCCGAGGGGTGACTGACCTCTGCTGATTATTCTAGACTGCTGACTTTTAGGTTATTAACACCACCCTATTCCTCTCCTGAAAACCATTTATTTGTAAGCTTTCAATCCAAATTTACATAATTATGATATCCGGGTAAGGCAAAGAGATTCTTTCTCTAATTTTCAGATTACATCTTTTTGTATCAAATGAAAATTGTAATAATTTTGCAGCTTGTGTCATATCCAGAACTGGTCCATCGGGACAGATTAACTGCCCATACTATTTGAGCAATGCTTACGGCATAGTTGACTATTTTTGGACTATCACAGGGGAACCTAACACAGTCGTATCTTTGACGTGAGTCTCTACGTGTCATATGTCTTATGATAGAATTAATTAAATTAATACAAGTTACTTGCATAGAAGGGCGATAAAAATGGATGGAGTTTGGGGTCCATCCTGAGCTGCCTTTTCGGTCAACTTTACAGAATTGTATATAACTTATATGAATTTGTCTTCCAGGCAAGTAGCTGGGGGGCAGAATGAGAGATGTCCTTAAGCGCATGATTAGTTAGGGGCGCCAAGATGTCCTTTGATATTATGTTATTGATGACAATAATGGGTTTAAGAGTTGAAAAAAGAAATGGCTTGATCTTTAAAATTAATCTTGTCCCCGGGCGCCAAACACTGTAGCTACGCCCCCACTTGTTCTTCTGCGTCCGTTTCAGTTTTCGTTACCCGTGGCGGCAGAGTACAGAAGACGCGCCCTAAAACTCCGGCTCGTCAGTTTGTGTCTAACAATTGTTATTATAAAATGTTACATTCCAGGCTGTCGAATTTCAAAATGCCGAGTTCTGTGTGGTGTTCAAATGAGTTAACCATTTACGACGGCAATGAAAAGAACAGCAGACTCATAGGTCGTTACTGCGGTTCTGACATGCCTAGACTGATCCGAACAACGGGGAATGTGCTACACATGACTTTAAAGAATCATTATGTCGTTAGCGATTGCTTCACTGGGAACTATTCAGTACATGGTATGTTACTTTCTCTTGTGATTTTTTCAATCAGTCATCCATTGCTTTAACCTTCGTTAACCTTAAAAAAATTGTTTATCCCTTTTATTCAAATTCTTTTGAAGCAATGACATAATCTTTCAGTTTGTTATGTTATAACATGAATATTTACCTAGCTTTTGTTCACCACGAGCTGCAGACTTCATTCTTAGCTCCCAAGCCCTCTATTGTATCTGTAATATTCACGTACCCGATTAAATGTGTAGCTCCCTATTATTACCCACCCCTCTCATGATTGGGAAAAGTTTGTTAACGCTCTAATTTGTTTAAAAAGATTCCATCAGGTGATTCTATTTCTAGAAGCTCTAACTTCCGTCCTATAAATAAAGCGACCGCTTTACCAGGAGGAAGAGATGTTTCTGCTAGACTACCTAGACACAAAACTTACGACAAGTAATATACTGGTTAAGAAAAGACAACTCACACTATATTACTTTTGTGTGTGTGTGTGTCCTTGTGTGTGTGTGTGTGAATAATATGTGTGTGAATAATATGTGTATATTTCGATGATTTTACCTCTTTCAATTTTTGGGCTGTGAATTTATATAGCCTTTATTTTCGTATATTTCAATTTCAGCATTTATTTAAATCAATTTAATAGCATAATAAAATTGAATTATGTTACAACAGCTAGCTTCGGTATCATTTCTCTTTTTGCAAACTTGTTTTTACAGTCCTTTGTTACGTATTGTTCATCTAACGAGCCAAATTTACAAAACCCTTTATCGGTACGTAGCAGTTAAGTCGTATGTGTGGCATTTAAAACGTCTACAAAGAAATAAAGATATGAATTAAAGTAATCAATTAGACATCAACTGTCTGGCGGACAAGGCGATTAAATATGTAAATACTTTTTGCGTTTCTTATCCATTTAGTATCATTAACGATGTTTGTATTTTTTTTTTAAATATATATATTTAATCAGCTCGAGGTTTAAAAAAAGTATTAACAACTTTCTATTCTGTGCATGAGAAATTGTAAATTCTTTTTGCAGCTTGTCGACCCTTGACATTCGGACCTTCGTGCATGAGGACTTGCCAATGCCTGACAGCAGGGACCGATTTCTGTGACAACATCAACGGTTTTTGTTCATGCAAGCCAGGCTGGACAGGTCGGGATTGCTCGAAAGACGTGAATGAGTGTCGGTCTGCCAGAAATTACAACTGCCCCATTAACTCGGTGTGTAGGAACATTCTAGGATCATTCGAGTGTCAGTGTTTGAGTGGATTCAACATGTCTGGGGGCCAGTGCGTCAGTAAGTTGCTGTTATTGTTATTTATATTGTGTGTGAAAATGTATGGTCAAGATGTATATAGCTGTCGTGTTTACGCTATGTTGCATATTAGGTTAAATGCCTGGAATAGCAGTAGAGGTGACATGTCTATCGAAAGTTAACTCAAGACCTGCTTAGTATTTACTTTGTCTAATAAATGAACAGCCTTCTCAAAAATAATAAATTAAAATACATGTATTGAATAGTTTGAATTATATATATATATATTTTTTTTTTTAAATTATGACAATTAGGAACACTTAATTATACTAAAACTTGTGAAACTGGTATCAACTTTTATTCTGGAACAATTAGGTATATATTTTTATAGGTCTTTTACAATATATTTTAAAGAAATTTTGGACTGCCCTGAAGTATGGAGAAACAAGTACTGCTCACACGCTTGCTACCTCAGAGACAAAAATGTACCTGTGTGCTCGTGTCCAGAAAGACTGGAGTTAAGGAAAATAAATTCAAAGTCTTTCGTCTGCGTTGGTAAATTTAATGTGGTTTTTTTTTTAATATAAGAATAATCAAATACCGCTTATAAATATAAGCAATGATTTAACCTTGGAATAGCATAGTATTTTCAATAAGTTTAACTTTATTCGACAAGAGAGTCCCATTTAAGTCGTTTACCTGGGATACGCAAAAAATTAACCCCCCCCCCCCCCCCCCAAATGGATTTTTTTCTATACCTCTTTAGCAAGCATTTTGATTACAGACTTAAAAGAAAATATTTTAAATAATCTTTATAACCTGCTTAAGAATTTCTACTGCATTCATTTGTTTTATTTCAAATATCACAAATCTTCTCTTAATTCCTTCCTGCTTATTTTTGAAAATTATCTTACTTTGTTTTAGTTCCCTTCTATCCTTATGGTGAAAGAGTTGAATTGATAAAATATGGGTCAAAACATCGCAGTGAACAAATAAACCTCAGCACTCGAGTTCCGTTTGGAATCAACAAAACCTCATCTTCATTTTACGTAAGTTACGTTATGTGAAAGGAAATGCAATTTTCTTTTTTAAATTGTAGCTGTTGTACACCGTAAATCTTGTGAGGGGATTTCCGTAAAGGACTTGCACAAAGTGAGCTTAAATGTTCAAATACGTACAAATGTAACAAATGTCACCACTTTATTTAGAGGATATCAACGATCTTGCGGACATCGACAAGTTAGTATCTGTTTTTATATTCATTTTTCGAACCGATTCATGTACTGTACTATGTTCATAATTTTAATTTGCGGACGGCCTCTATGGCTCACCGATTTATTAATTTTAATTTGTACAATTCCAGCAAAAGGACATAGTCTTAAGACTGTATGATTATATATTTTGTTGACACCCGTTAGCATTGTATAGAGATAACATGAGCTATTTTACCCCCATGGCCATGGCATTTTGCCCTCTATAATATTGGATGCGGATGCTTGGAACGGGTAAGGGTGTAAACCACTTATGGAGACATGTGAAGCGATGGAAAATATACAAACAATTGCGGATGTCCTTTATGTTCAAATCTTTAGGGGCCGTATATTAAATATGTCAACAATTTTTAGACCATTTTTGACCTCCTACCACGTCGTCAAAACTGTCTAAGTTCCAGGGGCCTCCTTATGTAATATGTTTATTTCCGCCCTACCCCACCCAAAAAAAATATTCTTTAACAAATTGTTAGCTTGTAACGTCTATAATCTTTGACTTGACTTAATGTTATATTGTAATTTTTTATTAAATTATGTATACCGTCTAAGTAGTATTGTTATGAAATGTATTGCCAGCTTTTATGCTTCCATCTTTACGTTAATAAACCAAATGTTCATCTTTGCAATAACGCAAATAAATTTTTTAATTCATCGTTGACATATTAATATTACTATTAAATTGGCTGACGTAGTTCTTGTGTAGTATAACTGTCCAGACTCTTAACGTATCAGCATTTTGTACTTGTTCAAAAATTACCATACTCTCTCTCTTTCTTTTCTCTCTTTCTCTCTCTCTGTCTCGTTCTCTCTCTCTCTCTCTTTCTCTCTCTCTCTATCTCTCTCTCTCTCTCTCTCTCTCTCTCTCTCTCTCTCTCTCTCTTCTTTTTTAGCCCACTCAAATCNATAACTGTCCAGACTCTTAACGTATCAGCATTTTGTACTTGTTCAAAAATTACCATACTCTCTCTCTCTCTTTTCTCTCTCTCTCTCTCTCTCTCTCGTTCTCTCTCTCTCTCTCTCTCTCTCTCTCTCTCTCTCTCTCTCTCTCTCTCTCTCTCTCTCTCTCTCTCTCTCTCTCTTCTTTTTTAGGCCACTCAAATCGGCCACGTCCTTTTCTAGGAGGATATGGAAGCTTCTCTTAACCAATAACGCTTTTTTTTAGGCTAACTTGACCATTTTTAAAATACGAACATGTTTTGGCCCATAAAAATGAACAAATATTCAAGACATATTATTGAGATATACGAATGTTTAATATATACAGACGTACATTGAATGGCATACCAAGTTCGTATCTGACTATGGTTCGTATCTCGAAACCCAATTTTACTTTACATCTTAATTAGTTAATCCATGCTCAGATTAAAACTTTTTTTAAAAAAAATATTATATAATAATTAATAACAAAAAACAGAACCAAGTAAATTTTAAAAATGCAGAGAAATGGATCAGAAATGAGAATGATGATTGTAAGCAAAAAATATACATTTTGTATAAAATTAGAAATATTTATTGACCAGAGTTTAATTTTACATGATACATATTAATGCAATATGAAAATCACCCTCCTGTAAGTGTGTCTCGGTTGGTATACCGGACTTAGATTCGTATGTAGTGGTCAAATTAGGAAATGTAAAAAGTTCGAATCTCGAAAAAGTGTGTGTGTGTATATATATATTATATATTTATATATCTATATATTAATTTCAAAGAATAGTAAAATTGATGTCAACAATTGTCAAGCATCATCCAATCCCCTTCCCCCTACTTAATGTTGAAGTAATTAATGTACGGCTCCTTAGATGAACGTTACAATCTACGATGTATAAGAACAAGTAGTGAAGCAAACTCCAACAAATAAACTTACATATTATATTTTGAAAAACGTATAATAGAATTGATACATAAACGTACCAAAGTTGTGCCCTTCAAATGTAAATAAAAGGCTTAAAGTTAAATATTCGTAACTTAGCTCCTTATATCCCGTACGTGCGATCGGCACTTATAAATAGATCCGAATTCATTACTTGCTTCATTTTTGACTGGACGTGCAATCGTATGCAAAAAATAAATTCTGTGTGAAGTTGTTTGACTATGAACCGCTGAGGATTTGGGGATATAGGAATGGTGATAGAGAAATTGATAGACGATCCAAACAGTTTACACAAAGTATAACACATTTTGACAGGTGTTTTCCTCCCCCAAGATAGTGAATCATGTCACAAGTTGATGTTTCAAGATTTTTGGATTTTTAAAACACAATTTTTGTTTGGGTAAAGGGGCTTACTTGACAAATTCCCACGGGTGTCTCTTCTGTATTTAATCATTTCTTTTTTTTAATACATTTTTTCAAAAGACTAGATTTCTTTTATAATTAAGTTTAACACTTGATGGTCTAAACTGACTCAATCCCTGCAAGAGCCAAATTCCAATCCTCCCGGGTGGATGAGGCTCGTTAGTATTTAAAGGGAACTCACCTAAGACACTAACTTTGAATTCAAACCATGAGTCAAAATGATCAATAAATTGATCGTATGTCCACAAACATGGAAAAAAAGCAACATAAAATGACTCAACAAAAAAGGTAAAATTGATTAAAAATTAGAGTGAACAAAAGAAGTTTAAAAACGGTCATCAGTCAATCGTCACAGAAGCATTCCATGCTCCTTGCATCATTGACTTCCTGCTTTTCTTATGTTTCTTTTTCTTTTCAATATATATTTTTAATGCGCATAATAACAAAAATTATTCTCTGAAGTGAACATAATTTATAAAAACTTGTTTATATGTTCCTATTGTTTCATACAGTTTGTAAAATATTCCACATAAGACTTAAAATTCTTTTGCCATAATTGAAAACCCGATTTTCTTAAATTTTCTGCAATTATATAAACAAAGACCCACTTTTCTTATATTTCAATTCATATTATTGAGACTATGTCGTCGTGTTAAGAAATCAGCATTTTACATTTCCAGATTATGAGGGACGGTGTCATACTCTTCGACCAGTCTGACGTGTCTTATACACCAAATTTGACAAGAGCGTCCGAACACAAACAGAAATTAATAGCAGCACTGTGGTCAGAGATGGACACGAGTAAGGGGGATGTATACATAAACATGTTTGAAAAATGTGGTTCTTTGGAGTTACACGAACTGCAGGCAAGCAAGATGAAGGCGGACGTGATGCAGAGAGCTGAGAGAGACATTGAGGACTACCACAGTATTCAAGACTTTGAAGCAAGCACGGTTATTGTCGTCTCGTGGGATAAGGTCCAACAGCCCAAGGTTTGAGTTAACAAAATTTATTTATGTTCGCCTTAACGTGGCGTTGTAGCATTCGCACTTCAAGTTCGTTCACACGTCCCAATCTGATTAACTGAAAACAAGTCCGATTTAAAGAACAGCGTTAACCTTAGTCCAGGCCTTCTAACGTCTATCTTGCAATAATTCAAATACAATAGCGCAGCTTGCTACTAACAAAATACTATCCAACATTCTCACTCAATGATCAGACCGCGCGTATTAAAAGACAGGCTACAGACACTACTCACAAGAGAGGCTACAGACACTACTCACAAGACAGACTACAGACACTACTCACAAGAGAGACTGCAGACACTACTCACAAGACAGACTACAGACACTACTCACAAGAGAGGCTGCAGACACTACTCACAAGACAGACTACAGACACTACTCACACGAGAGGCTACAGACACTACTCACAAGACAGACTACAGACACTACTCACAAGAGAGACTACAGACACTACTCACAAGACAGACTACAGACACTACTCACAAGTGAGACTACAGACAATACTCACAAGACAGACTACAGACACTACTCACAAGAGAGACTACAGACACTACTCACAAGACAGACTACAGACACTACTCACAAGTGAGACTACAGACAATACTCACAGCATCATAAAAATCGCGTCACAATGCGCTGCAAGCGTCATGGCGCAAAAAGCGTTCATCTCATTTACCAAATTAGCACATAATTTACACAGCGCACAATAAAACACAACATTCGATGTGCAACAAATACAAGGCAATATCCATACTCGACAGGCGTGTAGAGCATTTGAAAAGCACATTTAATTTTTCCCTTTTGGTTGATTTGGACGTAAGTCAAGTTTATAATGGAAAAAAAAAAAAGCTATCGAAATACCTGCAATAGAATGGGGCTCAACGGAATGTATCGATTGTGACTGCTAATAGATCAATCTTTATCTGATAAAGAGCGCTAAAGAAATAGATGTTTTGTCATTCTTTTTTTTTATTTTTGAATGTAACAAAAATATAATGTAGACGTTATTCACAAAAGTGCAACTTGAATAGGTTGGTTGTTATATTTATTGCATGCTTGAAGATGGAGAAAACTATAAACAAATATATTCTTTGCCCCTGACTGATGAAAAGAGCTGCGATGGTGCCTGAAGGTTTATTTAATATTATTCCAATGACTTTTGGTACGAGGGACCTGACTGCTTGACGCTTGCCCATCTCCGCAAAACTTATTTGGTGCTAGCAGACGTGTGAATAGAATAGCCATACATAGCCAAAAACCTTCATTCGTAGGCCAATATGTTGACAAGTTCCCCTGTCACTCACGGCATAGCCTTGAAAAATTCAACGAATGCGAAAAAAATGTATAGTATATATAGATCTATGTGAATATACCAATCGTTGTCTCCCTTTTTACTCCAGAAAAAGGGCACACTAACCTTTCAAGCTGTGTTTATCAGTGGTTTACAGAGACAGTTCAAAAACGGACAATTTGTGCTAGATGGTAAGAAATAATTAAATCGTAAAGATCTTTAGGTGAGTTCCGGTATTTACATAAATTTTGTTGTGTGTTGAATTGATTTGTTAATAGATTTGTCATTAATTTCTCTTTCATATTTTGTGTGTCCATCATAACCATACATTTATTATAAATCTTTCGTCACCTCAGATGAAGAAATTGCCTTCGCATTACTTGTATATCAGGCAGGGAGGATAGCCTGGCCAATTAATGGTAAAGTTCCTGCAGGTGTTGGTTATGTAAATGAAGACGGCTTTAAAGATGTTATTGAAGGGATTTCAAATAAAGTGAGCGATCTGTACAGAAGAGCTTGGATACCTGGTAATTACAAGAACATTTAACTTACTTAATTTTTTAATAATTACAATTTGAAGTAATAATTTCTTGGGGTCTTTAGTGAATTATACACACTCACACTAATTATTTAATACTCTAAAATATTACATAGAGCCTATGTTGTAAAATGTATTTTACTATTACTATTTTTATTAATAGGCATATTGTACAACAATTGTACAACAATGCATAAAATTAAGTCAATATGTCACATGATGTATTATAATCCTGCAAATGGGCTAAAAGTGTAAATTAATATATATATATATATATATATATATCAATGGTATACAACATCTTGGCATGGTATATTAGATATTCATGATAAATAATACAAATGAAGCAACCACCACAATTCCTCTTAAAAATGTTTTTTTTTTTTAAATTAACTTATTTCTTAATTTATTTGGCGTTTTATTATTTAAATACTAGACAATCTTTGTGTCTTACTACTATTTAAATAATTGTAATAGAAAAATAAATTAAGCAACATCTATATTTTGTCATTTACTGCCACATTTGTGGTCTCTAATATGAAACGGGAATACCTCTTCTATTATATACTAGTTGAAGTGTTATTTATTTGTTTCTGTTTTTTGTTTTTGTTTTTTTTAAACTCAACATTCGATAGACAGCAAATTTTCAATAATCCTGTAATTTAAATCAAACCAATCCTTTATTAAAAGTCATTTAAAATAATTTAGGCTTTATATTTTTAAAAAAACAAAGTCACTGGTTAAGAACCTCATGTTTTATACACTAATACATGCTAAGAAAATAAAAATAATATTTGTTTTATTTTAAAGATTTTAATCTATACAAAATTTACTCAAAATTTAATTATTTACAGAAACAGAATTTATAATGCAAGACAAACAGCATAGTACATATGATAGTAACACTGCAAGGGTAATAGAGGAAAATTTAATTAAAATAATACCAGACATTTAAATGTACAAGAGCAGGCTATGAAGGTTAATATGGATCCAAATGACAACACCCAACCATGTAGGCTACCTGTTACTTGATATGAACCCAGTCAGCTAGTTCCAGCTCTAGATGCCTAGGTCTACAATTCCACAACAACACTCTTGAGAAAACACTTTTAAAGTAGCTTTACTTTTCAGTAACTTTATGAAATTTTTATTTCATTTTTTATTATAAGGTTCCTTGCTTGATAATCTTTACATACCATTTTCTTCTAAAAGGCTCGACTGATAAAGGTGTGATACTATTTACATTGGGTAGCTTTGGTGGTCCAGAGAAGAGTTGTCAGAAATATCTCTGTAAACAATCACCGCTTCTGTTGCATCCTATGTACCAAAATGAAATAGATGAACTATACAAATGCCCATGCACCTTAGACAGACTTGGTCTACAATGGCAGATTTATGAGACAAGAGGGGACATCAAGTGTTATGCCATTAGTGCTATGGTAAAGAGAAGGCTCTTACCTCACAATATTCGCAATAAGGTACAGGTTATTAAAAACCAATGATCATATCTTATGTAGTTCTTTTTCATTAGTGTGGTTACCAAGCACATTTTTGTTCCTGAAGGAATAAATCTATGTTAGGTGTTTAGCTGATCATAGATGTACTTTAATGTAGCTTCATCAAACTATACATTGATTTTGTAATTTACGCAACTAAATTGAAGTTTAATGTATTTAAATCTTCAAAATCATCCTGTCAAATTTCTTTCAAATACCAAATATCAATAAGTGTAAATATTGCATCCATTACATTAAAAAAGTAGATCAGTTTCTGATAAATAGATTTTAATTTATAAAATCATTGTATATCTTCAGCTGTGCTGCTACAAAGTGCCCAAAGATAGCACTGATAACTGGGTTTCACAACTGCAAGCAACGTCCTATCTGCAAAATTCACCTGAAGGAGGTCATATTCTTATTAGTGATCCATGGCCAGGGGACACATCTGATAACAGTCAAAAAGCCAAAGAACAACTTCATGCGCACAAGTCTTGCTGTTCTCACTCTAACCCTGAAATGTGCAATAGGTTCTATAAAATATTCCCTGACAAACAATGCAGTAACCAAGTGAGATTTGTACCAGGTAGTAAACTATAAGTTTTAATCTGTTGATTTATTGTAATTAAAAATATTAATTAGATTTTATAAAAATAGATGTAATATTTATATTTTAAAATTGATATGTATGATTTTGTATATATATATATATATATATATATATATATTATAATTTTTTTTACAAATATATAAAGCCTTTGTCTTAGTGCATAAAAGAATAAAGTGAAAATGCTAATGAATTAAAATTACATTGATATATTCAAGCATTTGCAATCGGAGATCCTCATATTACCACTTGTGATGGCATAACATATGCTATGAACGGATTAGGCGAATTCATCATGCTGTCTGTTCCCTCAGTAAATTTTACACTACAGGTACTGAGATCGATTTTATTTTTTTTTAAAAATGCTGTTTACCCAAAGAGAAAATGTATTCTGTGTCTCAAAGTTTTTACAGACAGTTTTCTGAGATTGGTAATCTTAGCACCATTTGTAAAAAAATTAGTTTGAAATCAAATTTTCAAATTTTTCATAAAAATTGTTGTAGAATCATTGAGAAAGTTTAAATAATGTAAAGTTTTTTGTAATTTCTTGATCATGTTTAAATTTTATTTCTAGTCAAGAACTGGCAGAGCAGAGACATCAAAGGGAGCTCCTACTAATGCAACTGTGTTTACTGCATTTGCTGCAAGGGAGAGTAGCACTACAAGTTTTCAAGTTGAGCTGGCTTTGAATAACAAAAGTTAGGAGTAGCTCAGTTTGGGCATTTTATTGTATTTTAATCTTTAATTTATTTTTAATTCTGTAATGCTAAAATTGTTTAAAACAGCATGTGAATTTATTAGTATCATTATCGTTTTACTATTTATTCATTGGTTCCCAGAGAATTGACAAATACCTTTACTAAATAAGCTTATGTTTAAATTATTTATCTGTTTTTAATCATATTTCTGATGGCTGGATATGCTTTGGTAAGATATACAATCGTTAGTCAATTCTCACCAACATATATTTTTAAATTTCAAATATTTAAGAACTATTTTTTCTTCATTAATTTAGAATAACATTTCATCTATGTTATTCTTTGATTCAGCCATGGTGTTGATACTGAATGGTATTGACCAGACCAATTATTTTTACAATGACAGAGAATTCATGGTTCTTACTGACTCAGTTATTGTGACTAGGGAAAACAGGAAAAATATAACTGCAGTCAAGGCTATTTTTGCATGTGGTAATATATTTTATTTTCTTTCTTTAATACGCTAATTTTATTAAGAAGTTAAATGAACATTTGGAATTGTAACCATACTTTATTTTACTATTGATGTATTCAGCAGTATAACATTTTATATTATTCCATATAAAGTTACAAGTTAGCTAACCAAAGGATGAGGCTTTAGGAAAATAATAAACAAATGCTTATGAATTATTTTGAAGAGATAAGGGGTGAATACCATTTATTCATGTTTTTATCTATCAAAGTTTATATTATCATTTCAGGTGTAGCCATTGAGGTTCAAGTTGGTTTGAAAAACTTGGAGATATCACTACAAGTGGAAGAATATCTTCATAATAAGACAACAGGGCTGATGGGTAATTGCAATGGCGATGTCAGCGATGACTTTATCCTTCCTAATGGAACGCTACTCTCTTCTAATTCAACAGAAAGGCAGATTCTTGAGCAATTTGTAAGACAATGTAAGTTTTCATTAAAAAAGGACTGTTATTTTTATCATTCAGCTCTTTTGTTACATATCATCATGAAGAGAATTCTTAAAAGTCATGATAGATATAGTAAAATAAATGAAGTGAGCAGTAATATTATTCCAATTCATAATGTCAAGGATTTAAAAGAAAAAAAAAATTAATCTTAATTCTAGTGACAAAATCTTAGGAATTAGTAAGGTAACCATGTATGTTTCTTTACTTGATTGGATTTTGTTAATACATATTTTTTTGGTGAATTCTTTTACAGTCCAAGTCACTTCTGATACAACTATTTTTACCTATGAGGAAGGGGAGGGCTACACAGATTTTATTGATAAAGAGTTTGTACCTTATTTTGGAGATGAACTTGATATGGAAGTATCATCTGCAGCAATAGAGTTGTGTGGTGCTTATGATTATGCTTGCATTTTTGACTATGCTGTTACTGGCGATCAAAATTTTGCTAAAAATACAAAGGCTTCTAAGAGTGAGAATGAAGTTATTGTTTCCAATCTAGGTAAATTGAGATGATTTATTGATCCGTTCATTACTAACTGTATAATAAACATTTAAATAATATCTAAACCCATTTTTGACATCATTATAAATTTAATTTTTTTTTACTAAATTTACCTATTTTAAAAAAAAAAAAAAAAAAAAAAAGAGCTGAGTTAAATTTGAAAAGAAATTTTAAATTTAAAAAAAAAAATTTTATGTTCTCTTTTAGAGAATCAAACACCTGTAATAAAATCACTTACTGGCTCAACAATACGCAACAAGCGTTGGACAGTTACCATGGAACAAGAAAATAATTTACAAATTATTGCCATGGACTCAGATGGTGATGAACTGTCATACCTTACAGATGAAAATTCAACAAACATTTCTGTGGACAATGATGGCCAGATAACATTTACACCTACTGACTACAATCTTTTATTACTGCAGTGAGTCATGCCTATACATTGATTTAATATTCCATAATAATTAATAAGTTTTAAGAGGCGGTTTGTTTGAAAAACAATTTTTAAAATTACAATGTATACCTTTAAAAAAAAAAAAATTAATGGTAATGGTAATAACTTTACTAAATTAAATTAATGCAATTGATTGGTTGATTTTTACGTAGGACATTGTAATTACAAATGTATGTAAAATTAAATCATACTTTTTAATGTGGAGATTGACATCAGACTTGTTTTTTATAACATCATTCCATAATTTTCAATAAATCCAAATACCGTAAATAATATAACTCTTTGAAAATTCCAATTGTAGCTTTATTTCAGGATTTTTAAATTTATTTCTAAAATATTTGAAAAAGGATTAGGGTTAAAGACTCGAAGAGTGGCTACTCCTCAGCAGAGTTTGTCTCTCTAGTCTACTGTACAAACTGCAGTGGCCATGGCATTTGTAATAATATGACAGCATCTGTGGTAAAGAACAAACTATTGTGTGATTGTTACCCAGCTTATACTGGTAAGATGTTATATTTGGTAGTTATTTTTTTTAAGTTCAACATGATTCAGAAATTGTTAAAAATTCTAATAACTAATGAGGACAATTAATGACATTACACTTTTTTAAAAAATGACGTCTTCATTCAGTTTTTAAATAAAAAATTAAGGAAAGTAAAAATTTTCATTGTCCTCTTTTTAAATTTCACAAGGAAATTGATCCTGCTGGATAGCTCTCAATTTTTATTAAAAGAAATGTTTTCGACTAATTTTATAGATTATAAATTTTATAAACTTAACATTTGTTAAGGACTAACTCATACTTGTTGGAACTTTGACCAATATTAGAAAAAATATATTTTAAAAAAAAATCATTTTGAGTTACTTTCTTGGTATAACTAGCTAGCACAATAGTAGTTGAAAAATTAAATGTTTTAGAGAACACTTTATTCATGTCAAATGATATATGTTTGTTTTTAAAAAAATTGATAAATTAATATATTAATTTTCACTTGATTCAGCTCATTTATCTGCATGACTTCTTGAAAAAAAAATGTATTCAATCTCCAAGTTTAAGTATTAACTGAATTATAAGGTGAAGAATGTGAAGAGGAAATTGATGCTTGTGAGTCTTTACCATGCCAAGATGGGAGGACCTGTACAGATCTTACTGCTGCTGAGCAAGGATACAACACAATTGGCTTTAAATGTGGGCCTTGCCAAATAGGTTTTCATGATGGCCCTTTGGATACTTGCCAAGGTATATAATCTGTTTTCTACACAAGAGAATTTTCAATTGTGTTTTATTTTTAATTTTTAGCTTAGTCAAATGAATAAAGCTTGACAATAAATCACTTTATTCCATGGTTAGTCAGTTGTTGATTACATCATACAGTGTACATTATTGTTTTGCATAGCTATTGATGCAATTCATTGCCCTGTCACCCTGTGATTAAAAAAACAAAATGTCATGTCTTCTTCAAAATACATTTCAGATATTGATGAATGTGAAAATGAGAAAGTTTGTGACCAAACATGTACCAACACTTATGGCTCATTCTTATGTACATGTGATTCTGGATACAGACTTGATCAAAGGGATGGGATAACTTGCATTGGTAATTTAAATAATATTCAATCTTCTCAGAACTGCTTTCCAAAGTCTAAACAATCATTAACTAGCAAAAGATTGACATTAAAAATTAAACTGATTTTTATTACAATTATTAACTTAAAATGAAAATTGAAATAATTTAAACAAAAAAAATATTAAATTAAATAATTGTTTCTTTGCATACAACATAAGAAAATGAAGAAAGTATCATTTTGAATTTCACAATTAAATCAGTGCTAGTGAAACAGACAAAAAATATTAACAAACAAAAATCTCATTTTTTAAATCGTAATGTGGTAAGGTGAGTAATAGTTAAGATATTTCAATATATTTGCACCATAAAATGTAATGAAAGAAATTGTGGAATGGTATTTTCTAATATGTTGATAATAAATTCATAATTAAGTAACTTTTTAAATTTGTAGCCAATAGCTCAGATAATTTTAACTTCTCTGCAATACAAAATTAATCATGTTTTATAAAAATACAATTTTAAAGACAAGTCTAAAATTCCATATAACTTTCAATCCTCTAGTTATTAAATGCTTGTGACTGAATTCTAAAAACCTTACAAGAATTTTTTTTAATCTCTAATATTATTTTTAATTTAAAAGCAGATCTTTAATAGCATATAATTAAATGAAGATTTTTTAAGTATTTTAATTAAAGATCTATCTTTTTCCAATGCTTTAAGACGTGAATGAATGTGAAGAAAGAACTGCAGTTTGTCAACAAAATTGTGAAAATATTGAGGGCAGCTATAATTGCTTTTGCTACGATGGATATTCTCTAAATGATGATCAAAGTACTTGCACTCTGGGTATTAACATTTTTCTATGAAGATTGAGTTTCTATAATTGTTAATTTGATGTTATTATTTGATACAAATATTTATTATTATAAGTGTTTAAAATTATTGTGAATTTTTAAGCTTTGGAATTTTTATTGGCCTGTTTACATTTATTTAAAATGACACATGTTAAAATTTGTAGAGACTAAATACTAGGTACTTACAAAATATTTGATTGTAATAATAATTGTTTCAGTGAATTATCATAAATCCTTATATATATTATCTTTGGCTGATAATGCACAAAAATTTTATGCATTACCATGTACTATATTTTTATAGAGAATAGTAATGAAGAAGTGTGCAAAAGTTGTCAGCAACTTTGTATTTTATCACAAGAAATACCCAGCTGTGGCTGTTACAGGGGGTATGAAAAAGATCCTGATAATGACACGCAATGCATTGGTAAAGTGATATTAACTCATCTGCATTATATGTTTTATTTTAAAATTATCATGTTTAAAATGTATAGCTTTAACTTTATATATTAAATTATCTTGCTCCAAATTGTATTTAAATTAGACTTAAGGTATATTATCTCAAAAAGAATTTATTTTTTTATTCCAGACATAAATGAATGTGCCCAAGGAAACATGCCTTGTAGCCAAAACTGTACGAACACTGATGGACATTTCAAATGTTCTTGTTATGCTGGATACCAGCTGGCTGAAGATGGCACCACTTGCTCTTGTATGTACACTTCTTTTGTTCCCCAAGCAAGCCTTCCCATTGCATTGTTTGAATATAATATAGCCATGAAATTAATGCTAGAAGTGCATTAATGCGTTTATTTATCATGATCTGATTTTACCATGTTAACCAACTGAAATAGTTGGATGTAAACTAATTTCAACTGATATGTTTATTGTTTTGATTGTTATTTTCTCCATCTTTCCAATCCTGTCTTCTAATCTCTTTTTATGCAAATTGATCATAGTCTCCCCAATATTATAATTTTAAGAGATAAAAAACTAACCTTTTTGAAAATGACTAGTTATATCACATGTAATTTTGTTAATAAAATATCTAAACTGAGCAATATATTTACATTTTCAACTTTAAAGGCATTAACCTATATAAACTACTTATCAAAGAAACTCAAAGAATCAAATATTGGTTATGCAACTCACTTAAGTTAATTTACCACTGGTAATATTTCAAAACTTTATTTGCCTACTTTTGATTGCATTGTTTAGCATGTGAGTCTTCCTACTTCGGAGAAGATTGCAAGAACATGTGTGAATGTAACATTCATGGAGTCTGTGACCCAGTGCAAGGCTGTATTTGTGAGACAGGATGGTTTGGTGTAAACTGTGATGAAGATGTGGATGAGTGTCTGCAAGCTGATTCTTGCCCAGATGGACAAGTTTGTGAGAATCAAAGGGGAACATTTCATTG